AGCCAAAGCTTCATCAACTTCAACACCAGAAAGCGTATTCCAAGTTAAGTTCATCTTCTCCTCTCGATTTTAATAGTAAAAATTGACATGTTTCACAAAAATTTTACATAGCTATGACAGTAGACATGTCGATCACATGAAATCTTGACTGACTGATAAAGAAATAAAATTTTCCGTTTTATGTCAATCATTTATATTAACGTTAAAAATTTTTTTTTGGTTATTTTAAAATTACAATAAAGTTTCATTTTTTTTTTTGCATTGATATTCAATCATCATCTTATCTAAGAATATTGAAAATGAGTACTTTTAACATTAATTCTTATGAACATGAAGGTTTTATTGAAGCAGATGAAGAAAATGAATTTAATTTCCATTTTAAATGTAATGAGCATGAAGAGCATGAAGAACATGAGGAGGTTGTTTTAAGTGATGATTTGGAAATAATCAATGTTAATCAGAATACTAATACTTTTATTCAAACTGATAACATTGAAGTTGACAATGGTGAAAATAGCAGAAGACAGTCTACAAGCAGTAGAGGAAATAACAATAGTAATCATTTTCCACCACCACCACCTTTTTCTACATTAGTGCATAGATACAATTTGCATAATGCTATTGTTAAATTACCTCATGGATTAGAATTATTGTCAAATTTGTCACCTATTTCAATTTTTATGCTTTTTTTTACAAATGAAATTTTTAATCAACTTGTTGAAAATTCTAATTCATATGCAATTAAAAAAGGTGAGAGATTGGTATCTGTTAAGTGTCCCTGAATTGAAAATTTGGATGGCATTGTTAATATATATGGGTATTTTTAAATTTCCATCTGTTGATGATTACTGGAATTTGAATGACAGGTTTCCTAAACATAAAATAACCCAATATATATCACTATACAGATTTGAACAGGTAAAATTACCACACACATATGTTTTAATTTTATTAAAAAATTTGAAACTAAATTTTTTTTATCAGATTAAAAGATATTTTCATATCTCAAATCCGAATGAGAATACTCAAAATTAATCCACTTGGTTTCCAAAACTTGAGCCTTTGGCCAAACAAGTAAAAAAATTTTCTGGATATATTTATATACCAGCTTCAAGTGTTTCCATTGATGAAATGATTGCAAGATTTTCAGGAAGAACTGCTCAAATTTTTAGAATAAAAAATAAACCAACTCCTGAAGGATATAAAATTTTATCATTGTGTGATGCTGGCTATACTTTTACTTTTACATTCTCTTCCAGAATCAACAAAAATCTGAATATTAAAAAATTACAGGATTAAGTAAAATTGGTAGTGAAGTTATTCATTTAATAAAAAAATTTCCAATTAATAAATCCTTTAACATATACATGGATAATTACTTCACAAACATTAATTTATTCAAATACTTAAGAGATAGAGGGATTGGTGCATGTGGCACAGTTCATAAAAATTCAGCCAAATTTCCCAGTATATTAAGACCAAAGGAGAAGATGAACTTAACTTGGAATATGCTTTCTGGTGTTGAAGTTGATGAAGCTTTGGCTCTTTTATGGATAGATAATGGTCCTGTAACAATGCTTACTACAATTCATGAAATTACAGGAAAAAATTCCAAAGTTGCTAGAATTCATTGTTGCCCAAGAATTAATAATGTAAATGAAGAGCCATAACTGAAGTTTTTGGTGATCAATCAAAAAAACTTATGGATATTCCTGCTGCAATTGATGATTATAATCATAAGATGAATGGAGTTGATGTGGCAGATAATTAAAAAGTTATTATTCAACACAATTAACTGCAAGATGTATTTGGGTCCCTTTATTCTTTTGGTTGCTTGACACAGTTATAATTAATTCTTATTTAATTCATAAATGAAGTAACTTAATAGCCAATGATTTACCTCACAAAGTCTTTAGATCTCAATTATTATGGGAGTTGATAGAAGATGCTTTGAAAGAAAAAATGGATTTAGGGATATCAACATGACACAGTCAACAAACCATTCCTAATTCCTCTCTTCTGAGCCAAAAATTACCTCACATAATAGCTAAATCTCAACCTTCTAAAGATAGATTAATTACAGGTAATCATTTTGCAGAGTGAAGAATGGAAAGACTTTCATGTATGTTATGTAGATACTTGTTTTTAAAAAGTGAGCAAAAAGCTCCAGTATATAATTTTTGGTGTAAATTATGCAATGTCCCATTATGTTGCAATAGTAACAGGAATTGCTTTAAAAGCTATCATGAAAACAAAGATATTTATTTAAATAAAGAGTAAATTGTATGAATTTTCTTTATTTGTTTAAAAAAAAAAAAAATAAGAAATGTGAAGGAAATTTTTTGTGTGCAAAAATTGTTAAAGTTCAAAAGTTTATTTATAAAAAAAATATTCAGTAAAATTCTAAGTTAAATCCATTAGTGCCGATCAATTTATTTTAGTATAGTATAGCGCCGGTCACAAGTACACATCCAATAAAAATTGCCTTTCTAAGAAATGATATTCAGCAAAATAGAAAAAACATTTTGA